TAGGTTGCGATGAGTCGCAGATGACTCGACAATATATAACAACAACTCAACACTTTCATCTAATAGAAAAATAATAGCATCTAACCCCACAGCCTCTAGAAGAAAAGAAATTGTAAGAATAAGAGCTGAAATAAATGAAATAGAAATAAAAACACAATTGAAACCATCAACAAAACCAGGAACTGGATTTTTGAATGGGTTGGTAAAATTGACAAATCATTGTCAAACTTAACAAAAGAAGAAAAAGTGGAGACACAAATAACTCTATTAAGAAATGACAGAGGTGACATCAAAACAGAACCAGAGGAAATGCATCTATGATATTGGAATATCATGAAAAGCTATACTCTGATAAATTTGTAAACTTAGAGGAAATAGACAAATTCCTTGAAATGCATTCCCTACGTAGAGTTACACAATCAAACGTAGGACACTTGAATAGATTCATCACAAAAAAAAAAAATCAACTGAGCAGGTCATAAAAACTCTCCCACAAAAGAAGTCCTGGAGCACTTGGTTTTGTGGCTGAATTCTACCAAACATTCAGAGAAGATTTATCACCAATTTTACTTAAATTATTTCAAAAAATAGAAAAAGAAGGAACACCTCTAGAGACATTCTATGAAGCAAGCATAACCCTAATACCAAAGCTAAGCAAAGATATTACAAAAATAACCCCACTACAGACCAGTATGTCTCATGAACAAAAATCCTTAACAAAATCCTAGCCTATAGAATCCAAAAGCACATCAAAAAAATAATTCATCATGACCAAGTAGAATTCATAACAGGTATGCAAGGATGGTTCAACATAAGAAAAGCAATCAATGTAATTCACTACCTTAACAAAGCAAATAACAAGAACTATATGATCCTAGCAATTGATGCAGAAAAGGCATTTGACAAAATCTAACACCCTTTACTGATTAAGGCACTCAGAAAAATTGGAATAGAAGGGAATTTCCTTAACATGGTGAAAAGTATATACGCAAACCCAAGAGCCAATATCATTCTCAATGGAGAAAGAGGAAAAGCATTTTCCTTGCAAACAGAGACTAAACAAGGATGCTCATTTTCACCTCTTCTGTCCAATATTCTATTGAAAGTACTTGCTAGGACAATATGGCAAGAGAGGGAAATAAAAAGGATCCAGATCAACAAAGAAATGATTAAACTGTTGCTGTATGCAGATGATGTGATAGTGTATACAGAAAACCTCAAAGACTCAACAAAAAAACCTGTTAGAGGGACATCATACCTGGAAGGGTGGAGGGACAGTGCAGGAGAGGAAGTTCTTCAATGAGATGGATTAATTCAGTGACTGGGTTAATGGGTATAGATGTGTCAGAGACTATAAGGTTGGCTCAGGATAGAGCAGGGTTTAGGGCTGTTGTACATAGATTGCTATGAGTTGCAAGTGATTGGAAGGCACATAACAACAACAATAGGAATAATTGTATGAAACACTATATGAATCAACAATATTGTGAAACAAAATGTATATGAACGTTGTGAGCAAACAAGTATAAAATAACTTTTTCAAAAGGAAAATCTATTTTGTATACATGAATTATTCTGTAAACACTATTTTAGTGCTATTTCCATGTTATTTTATGAGAACACACACACACAATCAATACCCTAATGCACTTAAATTTACATGTGTACACATAGTAGAATAGCATCTAAGGGTCTTATTTAATGCTCATCTAGTCATATTTTATGCATAACTCGTGTACTTGGTTTTAGTTTCTATTATATTACAAAGTGTATGGATTCAGGGTGAGTTTTGAGTGGAGTATTTTGAAGAGTGCATGAGGAAATTCAGTCAACAAATTTTACTATGTCCCCTTTATGATGAAAGCATTGCCTTAATTACCATTTTAAGAAGTAAAACTCTTTCTTATGTGTTTACCTATTGCTACGATCTACCCCCAGAGGATTGCCTTAGCTGCATCCCAGAGGTTTGATAATGTTGTATTTTCAGTTTCCTTTATTTCTAGGCACTTTTAAATTTCCCTTTTCATTTATTCCATATTACTTAACACTATTATTTAGCTTCCAAGTGGATGATATGTTTTTATACTTTATACCCCTGTTGTTAATTTCCATTTTTATGGTGTTTTGGTTTGAGAAGATCCTTTGTATTATTTTAATTTTTTTTTAATTTGTTGCTGCTTGGTTTGTGTCCTAATAGAAGCAATTCTGGAGACTATAAAATGTGCAATTGAAAAGAAAGTATAGGGTGAAAGGAAAGCTACAGAATGGGAGAAAACATTTCTTAATTATATTTCAGATAAAGGTCTCATAACTAATGTTTACAGAATAGTATAGTGTCTCCACAAGAAGAAGGCTGATAACTCAATAACAAAATCAGCAAAAGACTCTTCACAAATATATTCCAAGGTACACATGGAGAAATGTGAATAATTACTGGCAATAAGAGAGATGCAAATAAAAGCAACAGTGAGAAAACATTTGGCTCCAGTAGCAGTAGCAATGTTTAACAGCAAGGAATAAATGTTGGAGAGGATGCAGAGAGATTGGAACTTACATGCACTGCTAGTGGGATTATAAAATGGTACAAGCACTCTGAAAGGCAGTTTGGCATCTTCACAAAAAGTTGAACAAAGAAATCACACAGGACCCAACTACTCCACTGTCAGTATTATACCCGAGAACTGAGAATTGAGGAAATAAAAACTGAGATACAAATGGAGGTATATAGTTATGGTCATAGTAGCATTATTCACAATAGCAAAAAAACACAAGTAACCAAAATGTGACCTTGACCCACTTACTTCCCAGCTTCACCCTCCACCAGGATAACCCTTCACATCTGCCAAGTCCCTTCAGAAAATATCTTCCATTGTCCAACCCATGATCTGACAGCTTGTATCTGAAGCTTTCTTGGCTTCTGTGATTCAAACACGTC